CTCCTTTCCCCAAACTGTGTTACGCACCAGGCTCCCCATTCAATACACGGGGAAAGCCAGCCAGAAGTGAAATGCAGAGGAAAGGTGCCTGTCTGGTGGGTCGGAGAGGAACACCCTCCCTCTGCTTGGGATTTTCAGCTGTGAACCCCTTTTCTGGAGTTTGGCACCTAAGGCAGGTCAGGGCTCTGGTAGCTGGCACTCTAGAAGCTGACACCCGGATCTTTCACAAGAGAGAACCCCGGTGTCATTATACCCAGCAGCTCAGTGGTTAGAGCATTCACCCGGGATACAGGAGACCTGCTTCAAGTCCCTTCTCTGCCTGATTTGGGACAGAGTTTGAACCCACATCTCCCAGGAGGGCCTTAACTGTTAGGCCAGGACACACACAGGCGCAAACACACAAAATAAACCTTGCATCAGATGCTTTCTTTCTAGGGAAGAAACAGCTAGACAGTCCACGTATATTGCTTCTTTACCTCAACTGAATCATCGGTCTCGGGAGTGTCTGGGCTGTCATAACTATTCAGCTGGGCCATTTCTGCAAACAACAAAGAGTATTTTTAATCATCTCCCTATATCATTAACCTCTCTCTGTATGTGATGAGCTTTCCCGGGGCCAAGAAAGCTCATCACCTATTAAACCATCTTGTTAGTCTTTAAAGTGCTGCATAGTTTCTCCTTTTGTTTTAGCAAGATCAGACTAACATGGCTACCTCTCTATTACTACTCTCTGGCTGTGTCTACACTGGGCCACTAGCTGTCTACACTGGCCCTTGAATTTCCGGAAAAGCAACGATGCTCTACTGTACAAAATCAGCCGCTATTCCGGAAAAACTATTCTGCTCCCACTCGGGTGTAAGTCCTTATTCCGGAACACTGTTCCGGAAAAGGGCCAGTGTAGACAGCCCAGTAGTCTTTTCCGAAAAAAAGCCCCGATCGTGAAAATGACGCTCGGGGCTCTTTTCCGGAAAAGCGCGTCTACATTGGCCCTGGACGCTTTTCCGGAAAAAGTGCTTTTCCGGAAAAGCATCCTGCCAATGTAGACGCGCTTTTTCTAGAAATACTTATAATGGAAAACTGTTCCGTTTTAAGCATTTCCGGAAAAGGGTGCCAGTGTAGACGTAGCCCCTCTGTATGGCAAAGAAACAGTATTTTACAAAGTATTTATAGATGTCAGGAAAGCACACGGCTTCCTTTCCTGCAAAAACATTCCACTACTGTACAATAGTCAACTGGAAAATCTTGCCAGGTGTTTTAGGTAAGACTTCCATTGTCAAAGACAACCGATTGTCCTCACTTATGTATTTGTAGCATTCTAGAAATTCCTTATAACAAGGATAAGGAATAAATGCAAATACTAAGGTAATGTTATTAATATATCTCCAGCAAAATCAGCCATCTGAATGTGTACACAGAAAATTAGATTTCCAAAAACTTTCTTCTCTCTAAGACCATGTCTAGACAGAGGTGATATTTTGGGATACCAGAAGTATCCTGAAATAGCTATTCTGCGTCTTTAAACACACCTGTTATTTCGAAATAACATGCATGCTATTCTGGTGTCCCTGTAACCTTCATTCCACGAGGATTAAGGGACTTGTCGGAATAGTGAATTATTTCAAAATGACCTCAAAATAAAGTGCGCAAATTACATAGTGCAAATTGGGTAGCTTATTTCGAGGTAAGGGGCAGCGTAGATGAATCCTAACAGGCCCAATTTTGCAAAGTGTCAAGTACTCTTAAAACATGGTGATGTTAGTGAGAGTTTTAGGATGCTCAGCTCCCTTCAGGGGTTGCTAAGCACATCACAGGCTCAATCTCACATGCCAAAGAAAACAGACTAAAAGCACATTCCTACTGAAAATTACTCTAAGTGGATGTAACAAAATCACAGACATTCTACATTTCCATTTTGTAGAAAGAAAATGATGCTAATGAGAAATAAGTAAATGAAAGGACCTCTCCCTCCTGACAGGATCAATGAAAACATCGCTTTACATCAGACTCCAATGGATACAATTAATTAAATTGCACTCAGTAATCTCTGATGAAAATTTTCCCAAAAAGCTGTTTGTCTGAAGTTGTTTGACAATCTGTCACTCAGTAATTCTGACAAATACTACAGAAATTAAGGTAAAACTGCTCCCACAAGGTAAAAAGAAAACCCAAGTTCAACTGCTGCCAAATTCTGTGGTAATTTCTAGTCTCTATGGCAGGTTTTATTGTTGTTGAGTCAAGCACAGGAGCAAAATTTGTGCCAATAAATCTCTCAAAAGAAAAGAGATTAAACAAGATTAATAAACCACTGACATGAAATATTCAATTGTGCAATAACTCACTGATTTCAAAATTTGGATTTTCTGGGGCTCTAGTGTCAGGAGCATATTAGAAAGCCCATGAATTTTACTGTTTAGTTTCACTGTCAAACAGCAGAACATGAATAGTTAAAAGGTAACATAGAAAGGGTGAGTCTACACAGCACCCTAAACTCGAAATAAGATACACCACTGTGTAACACAAATTGTGTATCTTATTTTGATTGAATTTCAAAATAGCATATTTCAAAATCTGGCGTGTCTACACAGCACCAAATTTTGAAATAATACGCTATTTCAACACATCCCTTAACCCTTGTGGAATGAGGGTTACAGAGATGCCGAAACAGCATGCCCGCTATTTCCAGACCTCTCTCAAAATAGCGGGCACGTTCAAAAGATGCAGTGTAGCTATTTCGGGATACTTTTGGTAACCCAAAACAGCTCCACTGTGTAGACATACCAAAGTAACAGGTAAACTGTCCTTTCCCCCACTGATGACATTTTAAGAATAGCAATAGGATAGGGGGGAAGTGGCATGTGAATTGAAGAGAAAAACATTCTCATTTAACAGTGTAATGCCCAGTGAAGGTGGCTCATATTTGATATTGGAAAGTCATTTAGCCCAAAGAATGCACAATAAGAAGTTCTCACCCTCCAGGGGATCCCGGGTAAGGCCCAGCTGGCTGATAATATAACGAGGAATGTCGCATTTAATTCCTTGCCCTTCCTTGGCATGACCTTCGGCAGCTTCTAACAGGTGGTAGAACTCTTCGGGATCAAACTCCTAAAGTCAAAGAATAGGACGAAAAGTCTGAGTGATTTGATTCCAAAATCAAAAGAGAATTTGTTGTTGTTTTATTTTCCCCAGAATAGGAGAAGAAAAGCAGAGTTACTGTTAAGCTTTAATCTAATCTAGTTCATATCCTCGCGTCTGTTGGCCTCACCAAGGAATAGCAATGACAGAGAAGGTAAGAGATGCCCCAAGTCTTTATGATGTTCCAACCCATGGCGTATATTATAAAAACAAAGTTTTTGGAGGTGAGAACCTATGTAAAGTTTCTGCCTCTTGGTGTGAGGATGAATTAAGCCACTCAACAGCAAGTTCCAAACAAACTTAGCTAAGCACAGCATTCTAATCTTGCTTCAAACTACGCTGCACGAGTTACAAATTTCATTATAAACAGAAGACTTCATTTCTGCTTCTTGAATTGCTCTGAACTATTAACCTGTCAACTGTGACTTGGGCTACTTGACAGCTCTGGCCAAAGACACATGCTTCCTAAGACAATGTTGCTAACATACTTTTTACTCTGGTCTGCAAACCTTGTTTACTGGTGCTACACTCCTGTGCAGACTATTAAATTGTTTTCAACTGAGTAATTGTTCTGTACAGTTGACCAGTGACCGACATCAAACATCACAATTTACTTGAAAGAGTGGTCAGCTAAACAGAAAATGACCGAAACAAACCAACCCAAAAACCAGAAATCAATATAACCATAAAAATTAAGAGAGTAGAAAAGGGGCGCTTTTAAAAATTGTCCGCACTTTCGAGCAAGGACCACTTCTTTGTTGTATATCCATATAGTGATGAGTTCAAAGTTAGCACTAAGCAAATAATAAAAAAATGGCAACGTTGCCAATGGCAGGGATGAGTGAAGGCGAGACATGTGTCCGGAAGAAGTCATTAGTGACTTAGTAAGAAAAGCAAGCAGAAATTAGATAAGAGGGAAAGTTGGAGGAGACAAAGGCTATTCACTGTGAGGTATAGACAAAGCCAAGTAACGCAAAAAAGCTAAGAGGGCAGTTGGGGTGGGAAGTAGGGAAGGATTGTTTTCCCCCAAGACATACTTACTGGAGCAGCCAGAGGATAAATAATAGTTAAATAGACAGGGAAAGGAAGGGAGAAGGAACCTGGGAGAGGTGGAATCGATAGAGCTGTGCTAATCTTTTTGGTAGAGAATTCTTTTAACAAATTCTCTAAATGGAGTTTTATGTAACAATGTAATAGCTTCCTACGGCAGTGTTCCAATCTGCAACACAATACCACCATCAAAAGCCACTGCTAAGAACCACATTGTCCCCAAGGCTACGTCTAGACTGCAAGCCTTTTCCGAAAGAGCGTCTAGACTACAACCAGTACTTTCGAAAAAGCGAGCTGCTTTTTCGAAAGAGAGCACCCGGGCAGTCTGGATGCTCTCTTTCGAAAAAGCACAGTTTGCATTACATAGCGCCTTTTTTCGAAAGAGCACTTTCGAAAAAAGGCGTTATTCCTCATAAGACGAGGTTTTCTGCGGTTGAAAAAACTGTCACGTTCTTTTGATTTACTTTCAAAAGAACGCAGCAGCAGTCTAGATGCAGGGGAAGATTTTCCGGAAAAAACCCTGTAGTCTAGAAACACCCCAAGAGTCGGTCTCATTGGTAAACACCAGACATTTTTTCAAATGTATCTGCTTAGCATATTCACCTGAAAGCGTGAATTGCTGCCTACAAGGGCCAAATACTTAAATAAACAATATGTGTTTTACCATCTGGCACATAAGATTTAAATAGATTTTAAATACTCAAAATTGTATAAAACAAATTCCTTTATTCTCATTGCCCCATCTCCTCACCTGACTTGTGTTCAGTCATTTCACTCTGTACTGAAGAAGCAGGAGTCATATGAGTGGCTGGATATAACATTTGCTTTATATGAAACAATTTTAGTATATTTTCTGTCATTTAGCACCACATCTGGTCTGATGAGCGCAGAGCAAAACTGAAGGGTAAGTTATAATAATGAGTGAATCCACATGCTCCAAAGTGTAAGAGAAAACTGACAGCCAAACTACAGTAATAGCAGGCTGCCTATTGAGATCCATCCAATGCCAGAGTGTAACACAACCTCTAACGGCGCTGAGGTCAAGTAACTTGACAAAATGATGAGGTAGACAGAGTACTTTAAAACACAGAACACTGAAAGAGAGACATGTTCAGTATTTTTATATTTTGGGGTCTTGCCACTTTGTTTCAGGGCTGTCATTACACGCTTTGGAGTTCATTACTCAAATCTCAGAAACTCTATTGCCTCCACCTGCTCCCACGCGCGTCTCAGAAGGACAGGTGCAGCAGCTCGCACAAAAACCTCTTGATACATGAATCTGCAGTTAACAGCATGTATGATTTAGCAAGTGCTTCCAAGAGGAACACCACACTACAGAGATGGTATTAAACTTTGGCAAATGCTCTCTTACCCTTCTAAGGGAATGTGTGCTATTCTAGTGACACATGTATCTATTTCAGTTTTAAGCAAAGTAAACACCAAGAGATTCACAGCCATCGATTTCAGTTGAATTTTGCTTTTTTCAATCTCAATCTTATGTGTGGGGAAGATTTTGAAGTAAAGTGTTAAAGTTAATGCCAGATTGAGTGATCCAAAGTCCCTTTGACCGCTTTCAAAATTCACTGAGAGTTGAAAGGCTTGATGCAATAAATACTGCCTTACACTCTTAATTTTATTATTCAAGAAATCTCAACTAGATTCAAATACAAACATATATTTTGTGTGTCTCATAATTTTCAGCTATGGGGGAAAAAAATCACATCAAACTGAGCTGCCCTCTTTAGGAGAAAAGCTTCACAAAACTAGTCTGTCTTCCAACAGCTCACATGCAGAAACTCACTCCTTGGTTGGTAGGATCTCTGAAAGTGTGCTTCTGTCAGTCTCTAAGCATGAGCATTTCAGAATGTGTCTGCTTGCTATAATACCTGAAAAGAGAGGCAGTTTTACCCAGCTCCATAGATTCCAAGGCCAGAAAGGGGCCATTAGATCTAGTGAGTCTGACTTCCTATGTAACACAGGGCCAGTTACTAGCCTTGTATTGGGCCCACTAACTTGTTTCTCTAGTCTAAAGCCTGCCTCCCAGAAAAGCAGCCTAGTCTGGATTTGCACTGAAGCCATCACTTCTCCTGGTAGTTTGTTCCAACTGTTAGTCACCCTCGCTGGTAAAATATATGGTTTATTTCTAGTTTGAATGTTTTGGCTTCAACTGCCAGTCACCGATTCTTGCTCCACATTTCCCTGCTGGCTTGAAGAGCTCTTAAGTCCCTGACATTTTCTCTCCATAAGGACACCCACGTACCACAATAATATCACCTCATGTCTCTCTGATAAGCTAAACAGATTGAGCACCGTAAGTGAGTCCTTAAAAGGCATTTTCTCTAGACCCTGAATCATTTTGGCGGCTCGTCTGCACTCTCCCCCATTTTTCTGCATCTCTTTGTTCGATGTTTGAACACAGTATTTTATTTCTGTACCAGTCTCACCAATGCCAGCTAAAGCTGTAAATTTACCAGCCCACTGCCCTTTGGACATCCAAGGATTGCATTAGGCCTTTTGCCACAACACTGCACTGCACTGGTAGCTGACCACTATGATTCATAAATTCTTTTCAGTCAATGCTTTCCAAGACGCACAGTTCTCCATTCAGTATGTACGGCCTTGCAGTCTATGTTCCTACTGTCCAGATCTAAGTGTTCAACTATGACCTCTGATTAGCCTGGGTGGGTAATTTAGAAAGCGATACACGACTTGCTCTTCAATATATTCATGCTGTTCTGTGAAGAATTTACTCTGACTTACAAATGCCCTTGGATTGTCCCTGCCTGCACACGTGTGTTATTTCCACCTTCAGAGAACATGACTCATTTTGCTACTCTGTTCACTATAATGGGTAGAATCATTTATTCTAGAACAAGAGTTCAATTCTGATTTTTTTTTTTAATTCAGACATAGCCATACTCTCTACACTACGTTTTTTGCGGAAGAGTCAACGCAAATGAAGTGCTCATTAGCATTTTTTCGCGCTTCATTTGCATAATCTCTTCCGGTCCGTTTTTGCGCAGTGCAAAAACAAGCAGTGTGGACGTGACTGTTTCACGCAAAGAACCCTTTCTGCACAAGATCCTTATGTCTGTAAAACAAAACCACAAGA